GGAGGGGTCGGGGCGGAGAGGCAGAGCAGAGCGTTTGCCAAAGCCAGTTGCGACGACAGGGCCAGGAGGTCAGTTACGAGGCACTTTGTTAATAAACCCCCAAATCTAGCTGAGGCCTAATTCTTACCTCACGGTAGAGCTGTGTAGCAGATACGCTCTCCCCTCTCTCTCCCCGATTTTTTACAAGCAATAATGCCTCTCTCTGTCTGGCTGGGGACATCCGCGCAAGGAAGGGGCCGGGGCTGGCTGGGGGAGGCCGCAGCACTGCCCTCGCAGGGAGCGGGACGTGGCAGAAATTTGGGGAGGGGGCAATTGCCGCCTCGTGCAAACAAAGTCGCCCCTGCCCGGCGCTCACGCAGCCCTGCGGGGAGCTGAGCTGGACGCGGGGGGACGGGGGCCTTCGCCAGCACCTGGCGCTGCCCTCCTGCCCCGGGTGCGCGGGGATGCAGGACGAGAGGTGAGCGCGGGTTGGGCAGGCGCGTGCATGCAATCCGCGAGCCCGGAGGTGCTCCTCGCCTCACCCCTGCCCTCCCCGAGAGCTCAGCACTGGGCTTGATGCATTCGGTGGATATTTATTGATTTTTACAGAGGTGGATGGTGCTGCTGCTCTGGGGGAGGGGGTTAGGTTTTTATTTGGGTTTTATTCACTCCAAGGGATGGGAGACTCGGCAGTGGGAAGAGGCACGCGGGGCAGGTAGGGCCTGGCCGAGGGCCCCCCTCCACACCACGGACCTGCCCGCATCCCCTCCCTGGTGACCCAATTGCATGTGAGTAAAGAGGCCAGGTTGCTCCTTCCCCTCTGCAAAGTCTCTGGGCAAAGCAGTAACTCAAACTACAACTCAGCCTTTTTATGTCTATAAACAAAGGAGATAAAAACTAAACAAACAAAACAAGAAAACCAAACCTGTGACTTTTCTGAGCTTGGTTCTTGCCTCCCCACCTCGGTCCCCCTGCCCGGGCGTCCTGGGGTGGGGGGGACCGTCCTTTCCTTCCTCCCAGAGAGACGAGTAGTCAAGACCCACAGGTAAGGTGCTGCTGCCCCCCGGGCATCACCCCCACAGCCTACACCTGCTCAAAAAAGAGCAAGTTTTGGCTGGCTGATGGCCCACATCCACCCATGAGGAGTGCAGCCCCAGTCAGATAGGCTGGTCCAAGACCTATATTGCTTCCCCCCTTACCCTCTTGTTGCAGGAGGAAGGACATGAAATCCACCTCTGTTTTCACTTTATTTTTTTTTCTTAAAAAAAAGAAAAAAAAAGAAAAAAGAAAAAGAAAAAAAAAGACTATGAACGCACCCATTCCCTTTTCTGAGCCCTTTTACAGCATGCAGGTTTAATAGAGTTTTGCTTTGTCTTAATACCTGTTTTTTTTTTCCTCATCTGGTTTATTTTAAACACATCACGATGTGTAGGAATCTCTAAATATACCGCAAATATAAACAAAAAAGAGGAAAATATATAATATATAACAGTAGTCTAAAACATAAAGTGCACGGCAATGGCTTTGCACGACTTCTACACAGCCAGGGTGGGCATGGCAGGACCCCCGGCGGGGAGAGGGGTGTCGATCCCATCGCACCCCGACCCTGCTCATCCCACCCTTCCGATCGCAAAATTAAAAACAGAATCAGTGTCTTGATTGGCAAAGAGTGATTGGGGGGAGGAGGGGCAGCATCTTCGCAGCTAGAGATTTCTTCTTCCAAGGTGGTAAGTAGGGTCTCGCCACCATCAGCTTCTGATTCCTGGTGCTGTCCGTAGCGAGGGGGCAGCAGGGGAGGTGGGGGGCATTTTCCTTGGTTGGTTTCCTTTGTTTTCTTTTTGGATTGCAAGCATAGTCCGCTCCCAGGAGAGACACAGAGATGGGGCGAGGATGTGGGATGCAGGCTGGCCCGGGCCCTGGGACACACTGTTTTACGGGAGAACACACAGAAGAACATTAGGCAGGACTAGGCTGGTGCCGAAATTGGGGTCCAAGCCCCACCTCTGCTCCTGGCCACCGAAGTGACCGTGGACAAATCACACCCCTGCACCAGGGCTCAGACTCCCATGGGTGCCTCGTAAATAGAAAGCGAGGGGGAGAGGGGGGCTTGGGAGCGTGTACTGGCCAGAGGAGGTGGGGGTGCTCACCTAGCACCCAGCCCAGCCGTTTGGCCAGGTGCCCTGGAGCTGCCCCTTCAAGCTGGGAAGCAAAAATCCAAGAAGATGTAGTCAAGGAGCTTCATTCATGAAAAGGAGGAGCTAGGACTGTTTTTTTCCTTTTTCAAATGCTTTAAGGCACTGACTAAAGGGAAGGGCACCGCTAGAAGCAGGCGGTTTCTATCCTGGCAGCCCCTGTAATCCATGCTGGAGTGCCGGGAGATGGAAGGCAATGACCTAACCAGGCTCTGGCAGCCTGCACAGACCTTCTCCTTCCCAGAGACTGCTGGCTGGCAGCAGTGCAGGGGGGGCGAGCCCCCACACTGGGGTAACTGAGCAGGAAGGAAGGGGCGAGAGGAGCAGCAGCTCCCCAGGGAGACCCGCAGCCAAGGCACTTGCTTGCTGATACAGTAACTCCCCGTGCAGGTGACTCATTCCCAGCCATGAATTAAAGATTAAAACTGCCACACGGGCCGAGCGCAGCGCGCGGGCCTGACAGCTGCAGGGGGAGGAACAGGCTTTTATTCCTGGCTTTTTTCACACCACCAAAGCTGGTCGTGATCCAAACAGATAACAGAGCCTCAGCCCCACAGAGCGCCTGTGACGAGCGCAAGAGTGAGGACGGGGGTGGATGAGTGCTGAACATGAGTCATTGCTGGCTCACTTATGAATGAGGGGTGGGAAGAAGGGGACCGGGCTGCAGAGGGCGCCGCAGGAGAAACGGCCCATAAAAAATAGGGGGGGGGGGAGCAGGGAGGGCTCACAGCTTCCCCAAACGCCAGAGACAGGGATAGGAAGGGGTCTGCGCAGGTCGCTGGCTGGCAGTCCCACAGCCAACATGACCACCTCCCAGGTCACAGGGAAATCCCACTGGGGCCTTGCTCAGGGACACCCCAAAAGCCTCCCCTTCAGAGAGGGGCAGCCCCCCGTGCTCGGCAGCCTGCTGCAGCCCAGCTCCTCAGCATGCTGGAGGCTCTGCACTCGGCGAAAAGCTGTCCCTACAGCCAGGGGGGCCGGGGAGAAACCAGCAGCATCAGGCCGCAGAGTGCGGGGGAAGGGGAGGAGTGCCAACGAAAGGGGTTGTCATGACACATCCCGGTCACGGTCCAGGAGGGAGAAAGGGTTCATGACAGCAGCTCTTGCCTGACGTGGCAGCATCTTGCAGGGAGAAGAGGGTAGAGCAGAGCAACGCAGGCAGCGGAGCAGGGCATGAGGAAGAGGGAGCACGTGAGGGTCCCCCGGCACAGCCAGGCTGGCTCTGCACCTCCCATTACTGATGGGGTATCTGGGGCACCACAGGGCATCGGGCTCTGGATGCCGAGGGGGATTCTCAGGGGGCTGCTCAGGACACAGACCTCTTCTCCCTTCTCCTCAACTGGGTCGCATGGACCTACCAAAACACCTTTTTCCAGCCCTTTTCTGCTGCCTGTTACTGGAGCATGATGAAAAGCCCTCCCCACTTTTCCTGAGCAAGTACCCAGGGATATCCCCACCACCAGCGGGCACTCGGTCCCCGTACCTGTGACGAGCGCGAGCACTCCCGCCTCACTGCTGCTTGCAGGTGGAGAGTTTGCGGATCTTGCTGCTGGCAGAGCAGGCCTTGCGGGAGGGGTTGGAAGAGGCGCTTGCTCGCCGCTCTGCCTTCGATTTGGTGCTCAGCTGTCCCGTCTCCGTTCCGTTCATGCACACGGCCTTGGGCAGCCCTTTGCTGCGGCTCTGCCCGTTCTGCCCTGCCTCCTCCTCAGGCACCTGTCCTGCAAGGGAAGCGAGATGGTGAGGCGGAGGGCAGGCAGCTTGCAGCAGAGCATCGGCCCTGCTCCAGAGCATCACTTCAACTGAAGATCAGCTCTTTCAGTCACTCAGAACGCATGTGGCTTCTGAGGAAAACTACAGCAAGTTTGTGTGTCTTCTAGGACTACAGGCAACATAGTCCAAATGGCAACTCCATGAAGCAGGGAGTTTGAGACCGTATCTCCCTCCCTCCTAGCTCCCATAGGTGGGAACAAAGTCCAACTTTACCCACGTTTCTCTCAGGCACACGGGGGTTGGTGGTTCCTAGTAAGCATTCAGTGCAAGCAAAAAACCGAAG